TAAAGGATGTCATATCCCTCCATGTATATAAAATAGAGTTTTTGGAGTATTTCTTTTTGTGCTTTTATCTCTCCTATACATATAAGCAAAAATGTGAGGGATGGAGGGTTTGACACGTGGCTATTTTTTCAGACCAAAATACCCGATTTCAACTATTTATTTATACATTTGCCCTGCATTTAATTTTTTCTTTCTTCCGATTTATTTGGCCAAATTTCTTTTGCCCGAATTCCGGCAGGTCAAAGATGGAGAAAATCTTTTCGTCCTTTTTTGCAGAATTATCGCACAAAGCAAATCGGAGATGAGACAGGAACAGGTAAACACGCCCCCCCTCTTGACAAACCCATACCCAAGCAATTAGGCTAATTTCCAACTCTCAAAAGGGAACAAGAACTCACATATTAACAGGATCTAGGATGGACGCATGAAGACCAAGGCGTCAAGGAAATCTTCACCGACGACCGGAGGTGTCAAGAAGCCCTACCGCTTTCATACCGGGATAGTGGTGCTCAGGGAGATCCGCAGGTGCATGTAAAGCACCAAATGATAAATCTGAATGAGATAAATATGGAATGGATTTCTTCTCAAATTCTTTTTCATCAAACCATCACTGCTACTCATCTTTGTTTTCGCTGATGTTTTTGTCCATCTTTTTCTCAATTACCTCCTCCATATTTTTTCTACAGACTGGAAAATCATCAGCGAAAAATGGCACGTACCTTTAGACAATGAGATCAAAAAGAGTGGACTATATGTAAATGAAATCTCGAAGATAATAGTTTTCAGTAAAAATGTAAAACTGGACAAAATAGAAGGGGAATAACAAGAGCCACTTGAGCAGGCAGGGCCCTATGCAAACCCTAGCTTCTCACCGCCGTATCGGATTTTGATCAAATTCGCCCCACTCTCTTCACCAGCTATGGAATCGGGCCTGATATCAGCGAATCCGTCAAGCAGGTATGAAGAATATGGCCCAATTGATCAATAATTTATCTTTAACATTATATGAATGCCCTTTACTTTGTAATGTGACCATATGACCTATTGAGCTATTGTTTGCAAAATTAATTGTCACTTAATATATTTTTCCGAATGTGGGTAGGTTCATAATGATATGTTGTATTTCCAAAATATAATGTATATTAACGTAAATAAAATTATGACTTTTCACACATTAATTATGTTTCCCCTCGTGTGGAGCCGGACGACGGCCTTCTGAACTACCAGGCGGAGAAGCGCTATCGAGAGGCGAACAATGTCGTGGTGGTCGAGGAGTACCTGCCGTTTGTGATGTCGCGGCCGAAGGAGATCAAGGAGGATGACCAATACTGTTCACTCGACGAGAAAGACTGCCACCGGCGACCGCAACACAAATAGTAGTCAAGTAATGCGAAGGGGACAGTAGAATTTGCCTTATTTGTTTCTCACAATCTTTTATTCACGTTTTCTAGAAATTCAAGCAGGACTACTTAACTATCACGCTTTTACAACAATGCCGCCAATCCCAGTACACTGTTCACACAAATGCAAGAGTATTTTACCCAAAAACAAGCCTTGCAAGAATATGAGGTACCGCATGAGCATGTAATTTCTGTAATGACTTTGTTTACTTTTCGGTTGCTTGATTATATTGAAGCTTTTGAATACAATCTCTATGTGCTTTTTTTGTTGTCTTAGCCAGTCTTTCTAATTTTTTATTTTACACCCATATACTTTTACCAGTGAATTTTATTCCCGCTTCTAAAATGGCGAATGGATATGGTGCTTTGCATTTGAGAGGATCTGTAGTGTAGAGCAGCTGCAAAGGCATAAATATATCGAGATCCAGTGCTAATGCCAACCACAAAATGTCTGTTTTTATTTTTATTTTTTCTCTTTTTTGATGTCTTAATCTAATTCCAAGCTTTCTAGAAACTTAGGCCTCAATAGTTGTTTATGAGTATTTTACATTAGTATATCGGCTAATAAACATGGCCATGGTTAAATAACAAATATGTCCTGCTTTGGTGTCCTAACTCTTAATGTTGCCTTTTTATGTTAGTGCGACTTTTTTCTTTTTATCTTCTTTATTTTGTCTTTTTCCTTTGTTTTGGATTATTTGAATTTTTATATATGTTCATTTCAAGTAAGCAGTAGGCATTCTAATTACTTTGATGTTCTTATCCTCTTAATATTCTATAGCTTGTCCATTTGTTTGAAAAATGATTTTATATTTTCATTGTTTAAAATATGTAATTATAATGCACTATTTATTTTCATTCAACCATCGAATTAAAATAAATTTGCTTTCTTACGAGCATATTGATAAGAATTGTGAATAAAGGGGCATAAATTGTGCATGTAAGTTATTTTGTATATGATGATTCACATAACTTAGTTCCGCACAGCCGCGTCAGACAGCACTTCATCAAATCTTTATTACGAAAATAGTGATTACGTCCATGATACAATGACACAAATAGATGAATAGTTCATCTTATTTTTATTGTGTGTCCATTTGCAATGATGTCATATAACTCTTTTCATTATAACATGATTCTTGTCATGAAGAGTTCGAACAAAATGTCGAGAAATTGCACATATCTATGCAACCAAGCTTTGCAGGCCCTAACCGACATTATCAACCACACCACCTCATTTGCCTTAATGGAAGATTTATTTATTTATTTTATTTTTACTTACTAAATTAGTCAACAATTTTATCATGTTGTACTCCTGGCTTTATAATGGATTGATATCAAGTAATTTCAATCTGGTTTTATAAATGTTAAATTTATGTTTTTGTAGTCTTATGAGGCAAGCAAATATATGGATAAAATTTGACACATTTAAAACTGTAATATTTTTAGACGACAAAAAAAACAATAAATATTTGGGGATTATCAACTAAACTCGAATTGATGTCAAGTTATTTGAAGCTAAATTTATAAATGCCATAAAATATTGATATGTGTTTTAAAATTTTTTCAAATATTATATATAATTACACGCTGAACTAGGGCCGGCTGTGCGTGCACAGCCACCGGCCCACTAGTCTTACATATAAGAAAAAGTGTGAGGGCTTTAGAGCTTGACATGTGTCGATTTCTCTCCAAAAACTTGCCATCCAATTTCAGCTATATTTACGGGTGGTGCCACTGCCTGAGGCAATTTCCGTCTAGACATGGCCAAATGGCGGGTCGGGCCCTGACCGGCGGGTCGGAGGGTTGGGTTATCACGACCCTGAACCGGCACGGACCTAGACCGTGCCGGGTCGGACCCGGCCCGGGTCTGGACCCGCCCATAAAAAAAAAGAAAAAAAAATAAAAAATCAGAAATGACTTGATTTTTTCGTGCCCGACACGACCCGGCCCGGACCCGGACCCGGCCCGGCGGGCCAGTTTCGACAAAAAGAAGACCCTGAACCAGCCCGGTTGAAAATCCGAGCCAGGCCCGGACCCGTGGTCAACGGGTTTGACCGGGCCGGGTCCGTGCCGGGTCCGTTCCGGGTTGGCGGGCCGGTTGACCCGTGGCCATGTCTAGTTCCGTCCCTTTTTTGTTTGCACTGTTGCACTCAATTCAGTGTGTGTGTGTTAAAAAGTGTGTGTCAATGTATGTACGTTCTCTACCAAACTCTCCCAAAATCTCCCAAAATCTCTTTCATATCTTTGACAAAAAAATCAGATCTCCCTTTCATCTCTTTCTATCATCTCCTGCCCGGTCAAAATTCTGCAAGCCTTAAAGACGAAAGGGGCAGAGGCGACACAGATGGATCGAACGGCGTTATCGACGTGCGGAGGCGGCGAAGCTGGCGGCGTCAGGGTCGCAGACGCAGCGAACGATGACGAATAGGGTCTGCTGCGGCCCGATAATGGAGACCAACTAGCGCCCTTGCAACTTATGTATGATGAAGTCTGCTAGCCCATGGAGTCTACTTTCCATAGGGTTTGTTGGTCGCCAAAGACCAGAGCTGCTTATATTTTTATTTTTCTATCTTCGGTGTAAATGTGACATTGTGTGTAATTTATTTTTTTATTTCCCGATGTACCTATTTGCAGGTGGATCTGGTCAGGGATGCTTCGACAGCAGTGGAGTTTCTTCACTGTTGAGCTGCAAGCCGAAGAGGGTTTCTTCAATCAGGTGAATTTAGGTTGAAGCGTGATTTATTTTTAGTGGTGAAATTGAAATTTTTAGTTGGGTACTTTGAAATGAACGGAATAATTGTTGTTGTACAATTGCTAATTATCTTGGAACAACATGGTGGTGAATTTTTTTTTTTCCTGTGGTGGGTTTTCTTGATTAGTTAATGTCCCATTAGTTAATGAAGGTGTGGTTCTAATTCCAATTATTAGGCTTTTATTTTATTCTTCTTGTTGCTGAATAAGTTACTGAAATTCTTCTTTGAGACGGAAATAATGTGGATATGGTTTGTGATAAGTTCAACAAAAAGTCGTGGATAAGGGCAGTATGAACTCACACACACATGTATAAGTTTGAATAACTGATGTTTCTGATGAAATTTGATGTGGCATTGCCTGAAGTTTCGCGGTGATGATACTTTCTACTACATACAGGTGTCAATCATCTACGGGTAACGATGAAATCAAAACGGCTAAAACGATGAACTTATTGAACAATGCAAGCAACCTCCTTACGAATTTCCTGAGTGGAGGAAAGATATGAAATATGCCTATTGTAAAATGTGCAGTTTTGGATCTTTTTGACACACTAATTGTTACTATTATGAATTAGATGTGCTGGTTATGAAATAGTCATGATGTGGCTAGATATAAACCAATGTGTACGCTTAATTATCTTTTTGTGTCTTCGTAGTTCCTTCTTATAAGAAGATCCTGGAGGATGTCGCTGCCGACCCCTCAAAGAGCTTTCACAACGTCGGGTTATAGACCCAGTGATGATTTTATCCCGTTGGTTTTTTCAATTCCATCTCAATCAATCTTTTTTACTTGCAAATATATCTACTGTTTTTTATTTTTTATGTTCAAAGAAATTTTATTTTCTACCCTCTGTGCGCAGTTGGGTGTGTCCCACTTTATTTATGATTTTGTGGGTTATTGAAAAAATCTTTAGATTGGGACTCCCGGCTTGAAAAGCTCGTATTTCCTTTACATATAGAAAACTTTAGATCTGAACCACATTGGACCAGAATCATTCAATTTTCAGGCTCATCCGCTCTGAATTGGTGTGCATAGTTATATTTTCTATTTTTAGTTAGATTTTTATGGTAATGGTGTGTAATCAGTATTTGTTAAACTACTTTTATTGTTGTTTTTTTTTACCTGGTATGTACCTTTAAAATTTTGGTGTGGCATTTGGTTTTTATGGATGACCTTAATATTATTTCTTGTATGTTATTACATTAGTGGGACGGTCTTAACAAGTTATTTATTAGTTTAGCTTTAATGTTCTTATGAAATTCAGGTCGTGCTTGCTTAATGGAACAATTAATGCATTCTCAAATAGTGTTTTCTCCATCCCGATATGTATATTCATCAACGACTCAACATATCACTTTGCTAAGAGTATTGTTTTTGTGAAAATGCAGGGGTTATTAGAACTAGATTAGTGCTAGAGGAGTCCGCCATGGACTTCGTGCCTGAGGAGTCTACCACCAAGTTCGACCAGAAGAACATACTTGATGTCACACTTGGTTGGCGTCCTTTGCCAAGGTCAAGCCCTGCGTAAGAGCCTGCCACCATTTCAAGCATACACACATGCTTTGGCAACCGAGTACAGGCCACAAACCCATCACCAGCCGGTGGACTCGGTCTCCCTGAGCAACCTGACAAAAATTATGAAAAGTTACATTAGGCTGAGCCTGCAGATTTTTCCAGCGGGGTAGGATCGTTTCAATTGGATGGGGGTTTCTAGAATTGGGTTTGTTATTAACAATGATGATGGTGAGTTTATTGTTTAATTTCCTTATACATATTATTAACTAATTGTTAATAGATATAAACAGTTATAGCTGAGAAAAGGTTTCATATAAATGTGGATTTTGGTTGATTAATAATATAAAGAAAAGCTTGACATGGTAAAGAGATAATGACACCTTTATAATTCAAACTGAGACATTAATAATGAGACTAATAAAGAAGGCGGTGTTGAAAAACGAAAGTTTGTATGAACCAACTCAAGATTTGGTTAATGCATATGGATTTAGGGATGGGTCTTTTCCCCACTATTATCTTTCATATCTTTAGAAAGTTGCTAATGTCGCCGCCATAGACTATTTTTTGCAATGTAATGTTTCTTTTCAAACTTTAGTAGACATATTATTGTCGGATGTTAATCAGGAATATGTTGGAATGCTATCATGAATTCACTGAGATTAAGCATTTGTTTTGTCAGGAAATTGCGATATTGTAGCTTCAGAATGAATGTAATGTTTATCCCTTACATTGTTAGGATACTATGAAAAGAACACTTTTTATGGATTCTTAATGTTTGTTTGATTGCATTGATTTTTCACATTGCATTTACAGGGCTCTGCATTGACAATAGTAACTTTACTGTCTCTTTGTCGTGATTATGGTGAAAAGAGCATAAGGGTTGTGCATATGTTGGAAAAATTTATCGGTACCTTATTTCACTTTGTTGCAACCAGATTATCTTTTTCTATTTAGGGTTTGAGTAGCCTGAGGATTGGAGAACTTAGTCATAAGATGCAGGCATATATACTTAGATTCCTGTATAATAAAGGAGAACTTCAATAAATTAATATTTTCCATGTAGGCGTATCAAAATCATATGCCTTTTTGAGTTTACTGTCTTTTGTGTTTAGTTTTGATTTTTTTTTTTATCTGTATTGAGAAAAGAAAATCTGGCAGGCCTGAAACGGAACAAACAAACTAATTGTCCTTTCTTTGATTATTTAACTGCACTAACCATCTATGTCGGATATAGACGGTTTAAGTTTTCCATCAAAAGCGTTCTCTATGAATATTTTATGATGTCAATAACGGGCCATTAAGGTTTTGAGGTCGAGGGTCTCGATGAAGTTCAGATGGGATTTCTCGAGGGCTTCAAGGAGTTGAGAGGTCCATGGGGGCGCCAGTGGGTGGAAGTGGTACCCAGCACCTGCGCCAACGGAAGAGAGGCAGAGCACTTTTATTTCTGAGGGTGAGGAAGGTACATACCGTACGCGGTTTCTTTTAAGCTTTGCTTTCCGTAGCTGAAAGTCTAGATGATGGACAATGGGCCTTCGTATGAAAATCATCTTAGAGCTCTTAAACCAAATCAAACAAATCTATTTTTACTATTCTCTTCCATGTTTCTAACCGTTAGATGGTTCTATATCTTACTTGATCTCACAGAAACCAGAATCTTGGAGGCTGGTTTGCAAAAATATAGCAAGGGATAAGAAAAATTCAGGAAAGGTGTGCTTTTTGCAAGTTCAGTTCCCATGTATGACTCTATGTTCTGTTTGTGCATGTGAATTTGATGGTGAAATCTCTTAGTCTTCATAAAGTCATAGGTTTCAGATTATATCTTGTTATTTAGAGGTAATGTTAAGGAGGGTGGCCAAATATATGTATCTGTAGTCTTATGAGGCGAACAAATGTATGGATCAGATTTGACACATTTAAATTTGCAATGAAGAGATTTGTCACATTTAAATTTGCAATTTTTTCTGGCGACAAAAAAGAAATAAATATTTGGAAATTATTGACTGTGAGCCACCACAGGCACACTTAGGACTTAGGGTTGGTGTTGTTGCTGTTGACTACCTAATGTATATAATTCATGATGTGGGAAGAAAATTATGCAAGGTCACAGATGTTGAGACTTTCTAACAGAAAACAACATTGTTGAGCAACATTGTTGAGCAACATTGTTGAATGTTCAGTTTGTGAGTTTACGCTCATACCACGTGAAGGAATTGTTTTCAAAGTTAAAATTTAGTACAAGTTTATGTTGCTATGTTGGGTAGATTGTTAGGCCAATGGTAACGCGCTTTCTAGGATTTTATGGTGACCCAAAACTTTCTTTTGATGTTTTTGTGATTGGGTGCATTGTTATGTCATGTAACTCCTACTTTTGTGATGGATTCATACAGTGACGGATTCAGGAATTTTACTCAGGGGGTCCGATTATAAATGTTAAATAACGAGCTTATAGTTTAAGTCAAAACGCTTATTTCATATAAAATGTATTTACTATAAATGTAAATATCGATATGTGTACCGTCAAGTTCTTAAAAACTTAGAATCTTATCACCCTCTTTTTTTTTATTAATAAATTTTGATTTCAGAATTTTTTTTAAAAACTAAAATAAATTAATTTTATATAAAACATTACTTTGGGTCTTAATTAAATTGTCAAATTATAATAATTAAGCACCCGTACATTAAATGAAAGTGTCAACTCTATAAAAATATAGATATTATTTACTATTACATAAGTACAAAAATGTATATCTTAAATAAAGATAGATAATATGGTGATATGTATATGTATAAGTGTAGAATATGTTTATTTAATATTAAGCAAAATAGATTAATTTTTTTACTTAATTAAATGTCTAATACATCAAGTGTCGTATCAGTCGTGCTTCACATTTTTTAACTTTATATGTAATTTTAGAATTTAGATAAATAATTATTTATTTTTATTACATTGACAACATACCAATTAGATTTGAAATAAATATCATTTTTTAAAAAATACATACAAATTTCTATTACTTTATAGTATAATTTATAGTTTTATTTTATATAATTTAATTTAGTTTGATAAATAAATTTAAATTTTATTTATTGTTTTTTTTATATATATATATAGTAAAATACAAACGGACTTCATAATATCAATTCAAATGCAACACACTAATTAAGATTTTTTTTTTCTCGACAATATTAACCCAATTTAATGGATGTTATGGGAAACGATGGAGATGAAATATAAAGAGACACTGTGTATTAGATGGAGGATTGAAAATGGAAAAATAAGAACAAAATGTCTAGAACATTTATTTTATCAATGATCAATTAAGCCAAAGTGACAAATAATAAAAAATAGGAGGGAATATATCTATTAGTATATATTTTAGTATGGCACATGTTATTGTGTGACTTATATGTGTTATATTATAATAAATTTTCTACCTTACAACATATAACTACATTAAATATAAATTTATTAAATGATCAATAATTTTATTTTCTAATTAATTTTAATAAATAATTTTATTATTATTATAAAGATAAATATAGTTATTTATTTTATATATACAATATGGATGTCAAATAGAAGCTCATCAAAAGATGATTATATTGATATATTATATATGTAAAACCGATAAGAAATACAAAAGTTATCAACTTTTAAAATATGTTCGCAAAACAATGGTTATAATAGGAAATGATATTAAAATACAATTAATACAGATATTAATTTATATCCAAGCCTAACTCCAAAACATGAGTTTTTGCCAAATAGGATTCTGAAGCATGAGAGAGTTTGACACGTAGGCTCAACGCATTCTGAACTTATATATAGAGGGAATTATTAATTTAAAGAAAATTAACATAGAAAATACATTTTAATTATTATTATGTTATAAATATTTTTTTATTGTATTTGTATACATATTTTATAGTATTTTCTTTATATATATATATATATATGTATGTATATATAGGGTCATGNACGGACATCCCATCGGCGACCATCCAGCGCTGCCCCTATCACCGCTCCGGATCAACCACTGACACGCCGTTCTTTCGAACTCCGGCTCCTTGACCTTCGAAACTCCGGCACATCGACGACTGCCTGGATAGACCAGATCTGCGCGTCGGAGACGAAAGAAAACTGACTGCTCGCTGCGAAAAAAAATAAACCGTAATGTCGGCCTGGCTCGACCATTTAAATGGGTTCTGGAGAATATCCATTGTCTTGGGCTTCCTAAACCTTCTTCTATTAGGTCTTACAGAGCATATAAATGTCATTAGTTTTTTTTCCAACATTTTCCATATTTCTTGGAATTGAAATGGATGCTTATGGCTACCAATTTGGTTTTAATAGTGTTAATTTTTTTTTTTTTCCAAACGATAACATATTATAAAAAAGCTCAAAGCAAATAACAGTCTAATACAATGGACTAACAACTGGTCAGTAACTAAATACCAGCAAACAAGTACTGGTAAACGAGCTATAGGGAAACTCACTAACATGATCCCAAACTCACCACCTACCCGAAGCAACTAAACAAAGAAATTAAGTTTTTACAAAAGCAAAAGAACACGAAGAGAACATCTTGGCCATGTCAAGAATTTCCTGCACTAATGCATTGTTGCATCCTTCCACTCTCAGCAGCTTGTTCAAGGCTTCTTCAATTTTCTTCTTGCTGGTCCAGTAAATCACATGCTTCCATCCAACTTCACCAGCCGTAGACAGAATCCATTTGATTTGAATAAGCTCATCCTCCAGTATATTACCTGTTGTATCTGCTGCATATGTCCATTCTCTCAGTGTAATTCCCCCAAACGAAGCATGTCCTGTGATTATACTAGAGTTGTTATCAAGAAGTGAAGCACTGACAGATAAGGATATCTGCCCTACCTCCTGGGAAAAGTTCCTTGCAACATTCTCTGTACTAATCCGCAACAAATCAATTCCCTACCCTAAAGCAATAGCATTATACTCCAGCCATTCCTTTTTAGCATACAATACCACATCAACTTCAGCAATCCAAATGTTCTCAAAAAGCCACATGTTTCTTGTCTTCCACAACCACCAAAGCA